ATGTACATACCGTTGAAAGAGTATTTGGTATCTGAGGCATATCATTTCATGGTGTCACAATGTATTGCATCTCATTACATCCTTCATTCTTGTTGATCATGTGTTTTATTGGTGGTTGGACAGTACGTGATATTTGATTACCTCTATTTGATGAAACTTGACTAGTAAGTATAACATAAACTTGTATAAGTAAAGGATTGATTTTCTTATATAAACTTTTGTCACTAATTTTTTGTTGTCGGTCTTTGAGATATACTGGGTACACATGGTTTTGTACTCATACTACACTTGTTGTACTCTTTGTGGTACAAATTCGATTCCGAGTATGAGCACATCTCGTGGATCTTTTTGAGTCCAAGCTTGGAGTATCTTGGAGTTGTGGTGAGCTGCTTGGTTGTTTCGTGGCCCACACCTCCCTCTATCTTTATTTATTATGTTGTTTTAGTATTGAGACAAGATATCCCTTATGTTTAAATTTGTCATTTTAGTTTCATACTTGCACCATATTTAGAAGCTCTTATACTTATGAAACAAATTCTTGGGTGGTATTTTAGCTTTCCGCATTTCGTATTTATGAAGGACTTAGTGTTGGAGATATTTTACTCATTTTTTACCTTTTTACATCAATACTTAGTTAAATTGGTAAAATTATTGGGTTGGCTTACTTGTCGGTGGGGAACATAGGTGCCATCATGACTTATGAATTTGGGTCGTGACAAAAAGTAAAGTAATACAATCATCCAAAACTAAAAGTAACAATATACAATCAAAAGGGGGAATATTGGCTCAAAGACCCTCACCCCACCAAAAAAATAAGTAGTGCCCTCAATTCAATGATAATAAAAGTACGGGAGGCTGAGATAGAAAGGTTCCCTTGACAGGATTTGTCTGTGGAGCACTCTCATTCGGAATCTCCAAAAGGGAAACATCATTCGGGGTAGCAATGCCCGGCAATAGAATTATCGAAGGCAGTAGTGAAGACTCATCTGGAGCATTAGTGCCCATCTCAACACTCGGAGGGATGGTGGATTCTGAAGAGGCTCCACTAGGACCAACCTTTGAAGTCTCACAAAGGGATCTCTCCAGGGCAGTCTGAAAAATGACCTATTCGTTCTCTGCATCTCAGTCAGAGTCTGCACAATACTATGCTTCTCGCTCCTCAACTCCTCCTCGTCTGTTAAATCATCCTCGACCCTCTCAACATCATCAACAACATAAATGTCAACACTTGCAACTATCTTAGGTTGCACACTGGGAAAGGGATCACTACTGGGCATCTAGGGTGGCATGGAGGTAGGTGCATCTGGTAGGGGAACCTCACCCCAATATATATATATATATATATATATATATATATATATATATTTATATATATGTGGACTACAACTGGGTCACCTCCATTTGCAAGGTAGCAAGCTTCTCTCTCATGGTGTCTAGTTCATCAGAACTACCATTGGCCTTCTCTTGGGGATCAAGTCTCGCAGTAAGGTTGTCCAACCTCACACCATGGCCCTAGACCAGCCTCTCACACCTACTCACCCTATCTCTCAATGGATCCAAGGCTCTCTCAATAACCCTATCAATGATCACAGGCATATCCGTCTTAACCTGTGTGGCTCTAACATCCACCGCCCGAGAAGGCTGCCTATATAATATATCATGGCATGGGTCAAGGGAGACAGGTGATAGGAGTGGGGGTAGGCTTCTCATTAGCAACAATAGATAGAAGCAAGATTAGAAAGTGTTATTCACGAAGTTCAAGTGTTTTCTCTCTCTATAATTCAGAACTCTCAACTCTAGAATTGTTAGATCTGTAACTCTCATTCTTTCTCTCTCCTTTGGGCTATTTATAGTTTCTCAAAATTTTACCCAAAAACCCAATGTGCATCTCATTCAGCGACATTGTCATGCTTGTCGAGCTCGTTCAATGTATCACCTTTTGTGCTTCAGGTCATCTTTTCATGCTTTAGGCTTCAAATATTTGAACCTCAGTCGGCGAACTCGTGTGAGTCAATCTTTCACATTTGTTGCATCACCGAGTACCACCTTTATTCGTCGTTCAAGCATTCAATTTTTCTCCTTGCATTTTCACTTTCGGTGATGATCATCAAGGTCGCTCTTCTCATTCCGCGCATTGTCTTATCTGTTAAAGCTCACCGACCTGATTCGATAGACACAAATGTTATGCACTATCACTTTGGGTGAGTTCAGGATTATTAGACGATTCGCCTTTCTTGTTGAGCGATCAACAATGTATGGTTTGCATTTCTTTTTGCATTTTTTCTCATTCTTTCAAACATCAATCATTTCCTTGTCCATTTACCTTCATAGCTTCAAATTATCAACATTTCATCGGAATATTGAGCTAAATAGACCTCAAGTGAATGCATATCTACCACTTATCAAAGAGGAGCAAATTATCAAGATAGACGTGATAATGAGGCAAGTGATCTAAAGGAAAACGATGACATAATGCTTCATAAAATCTTGACAAAGGTTCAGGTGCCTAAAATGATGAAAAATGAATTGATCTTGATAAGTTATGACGTATTGAAATTAAGCCAAATGAACGTCGACGGTATCTTTGATATGAAGTAGCGCTCAATGTTATAGATGGTGACGAGGATCTTGAATTTAAATCTGGCATGTAGTGTGCACAGATAAATGATGGGCCAAATAAAATGCCTAATTCAAATATATTATGTTTCACTTAGAAAAGTGATGTTTTTAAATTTACAGTCCATAGATCAAAATATAATGTCAGTGGAGTACAAATAAATTATTGTGCGATATTATAATCACAAGTTATAGAGTACGGTTTGTGCCTCACGGCATAAAGAACTTTTACAAAAGTCCTGACATTATTAAATAGAGATATATTCTCCTGTGGTGGATTATGAGGTTTGTTTCAGTCTGACAATAGATGAAATACTTGAATATGTGTAATGAATGATTGTCATGTCTATCTAGATGATGAAGGTTATATGAAATCCTTAAAGAATTTAAGAGGTCTTAAAGTTATTCCATTGAGTACTCCAATGATTGTGAAATTGCAAAGAAAGGTCAATTTCAATCTCATGAAAATTATTAGAAAACATCATGTATTAGTGCAGTTGATGCACTTACAGATTGTTGGTTATGCAAATGCTAGAAAATTATTTGATCTATATAACGAAAGTTATGTGAGGGAATTATCATTCAAGTTATGCCAAAAAGTTAATAAAAAATATTGACTCAACACATTGAAGATGTGTGATTTTCTTTGATAAGAAGAGACGAGTTTCAACAAAATTGAAAGTCCCATATTTATTCGATCCACATGAAGCTCGATCTGAAATGAGCTATTTGTGTACATGTGGAGGCCCAAAAATATCTTGACATTCAATGAATAAAACACTAGTAGACATTTTTTTTCAAATCATGCAGAAATAGTATTCATCCATTAAGCAAGTTAAGAGTGTGTGTGCTTGGGATTAATGACCCATCATATGAAGAAATATGTAATTTTTCTTGCAAAGGGATATTCCAGCCATCGTGTACGAAATAATGATGCAGGTATAGCTCAACAGAAAAGAGGATACAATCAAAGGAGATTGGACAAAGCATATGTCACCAAAAAAAATAATTTACGCATGATTTTCAATAAAAGGTGAGATAGACGTTCAAAAGATATGTTCAAGTGATAATCTGGCAGAGTTATTCATTAAGGCATTGCCAACATCAATATTTGAAAAGTTGAGATGTAAAATATGAATGCGTTGTGTTCAAGATATGAAGTGAAGTTTTCATTCGGGGGAGTGAAATACTTGTTGTGCACTTTTTCTTAACATGATTTTGTTCCAATTGAGTTTTGCTGGTAAGGTTTTAATGAGACAACATTCAAGGCGTATTATGAGATATGTGTACTTTTTTTCCATAACTAGGTTTTTTTCATTGGATTTTTTCTAATAAGGTTTTAACGAGACACATTATCTATGGACACCCAATGGGGAGTGTTATAAATTCATTGAATGAGTGAATTGTCCATTTAGTTAATACATGAACTACTTACATTCATGTATACATATCCCTAGCTTCTATGAATTATTGTGGATAAGAATATATCTATTAATTTGGACATTTAGCATAGTAACTTTTGAATAAGATGTTCACAATATTATACTCTTGTTATCTTTTTGTCTATATTATTTGTAGTATATTGTTTATGTTTTATTACAGTAATTAGACAAGTGGCGGATTATTGATAATGCGACTTCAGTGGGTTGGTTTGATCTGCTAAATTTGTTTATGAGTAAATTGAAGATGTGGTAATAAAATCAAGTGTTGAAATGAAGTACTACCTTTCAATGGGTCAGGTTATGATAATAACATCGACATGTTTGCTGAAAGCATTGATTTTGAAGAAAATTATACACATTCAATTATGTCTTATGTCGTTTCCTGCCGACTCTCGAGTCTTCCTTCACCAACAGAATGTGAGTACTTGAGTTTGCTTCAAATAAGTCTACTTCAGTAGAATGATTATATTAATTGATTCAAGTAAATGGCTCATATTACAAAATGCACCCTACATTCTCAACTTATTAATTAGTAATAAAGGAGAAGGATTTCCATTAAGAAAAGACAATTCTTTGCTTAATTAATTTCAGATAAATTGCAAAGGAGACAAATGAATTACCACAACAATTATGAAGTTTAAGAAAATAGAGATATTTTATTATTATTATTATTTTTGTGATATTAAAGAGCTGTTAAGAAACTTGTTCACCAGCAAGTGGGTGTGGGGTCAGCAGCAGCTGCAGGTTAACCATAGATTAGAAGAAAGTTAATAAGTTAACAAAGAAAGAAACCACCATAGTATTTCTTATCTACAGTCCATCATCATCCTCAACCCAAATTACAAACAAACCATCTCTTTCTTTTTCTCTGCTTCTTATTTTGTCAAAAAATGAGCCTAAATCTAATAATCAAATCTTAAACAAAGTATATGTTTGTCAAGTATGGAGTTGAGCAATAACAACAGTACTATTTACAAGAAAACCCCAGAAGCTGAAACAGCTCGAATTATCCAACACAATAAACCTTTCTCCATAACTAATGGTATACTCAAACGCCAGAATCATCATCCTCTGCCTCTGCCTCTGCCTCTGCCTGTCGTTGTAGTTTACAAAGAATGTCTAAAAAATCATGCTGCCACTATGGGCGCCCACGCCGTAGATGGCTGCGGAGAATTTATGCCATCCCCTACCGCCACTGCTACTAACCCCACCTCCCTAAAATGCGCCGCATGTGGCTGTCACCGGAATTTTCACCGCCGTGAGCCAGAGGAGCTATTTCCACCTCCCAACACCGCCGCAGCTCTGGAGTACCAATCTCATCACCGACACCACCCTCCGCCTCCGCTGCCGAATCGTGGAAGTGGGGACCACAGCTGCCCTAATTCCCCATCTCCACCACCGATCTCATCCGCTTACTACCCATCTGCACCTCACATGCTTCTTGCACTGAGTTCCGGTTTGTCGGGTCGACCCGTTGAAAACAACAACAACCACCTGCCAATAAATACCAATTCGAGTACTCCTGTGTCAAACCCAAATGGGAGAAAGCGATTCAGAACGAAATTCACACAAAATCAGAAGGAAAAAATGCTTGAATTTTCTGAAAGAGTTGGATGGAGAATGCAGAAGCAAGACGAAGAGATTATCAACAAACTCTGCCATGAAATTAGTGTAGAGAAAGGGGTTTTAAAAGTATGGATGCACAATAACAAGAACAGTTTTGGAAGAAAAGATCAATCTGTCTCCAACAACGACATAAATGGTATCAATTTTGGTATTAGTAGTACAAATGACAATAACAAAGAAGAGACTCACAGCCATGGCGTAAATCACAACAATATTGTTAGTGTTGTTGCTACTGATGGGTCTTCTTCTTGAACTTGAACTTCGAAAAAAAATGTTAGAGGTTGGTAAGTAGTATTATCTTTTTCTAAATGCAGCAGTATTAATTAATTTGTCAAATCTCTGATTGAGGTTGAATCAATTTGTCGCCTCTTTCTTTCGTTTGATGAGAATAACTATATGGACTGATTGTTCTTAATTAATTAGGCAATTACTTTTGTTCACTTTCTTATATTCCTTTCATTTTTTTTCTCTTTTCTTCTTTGGGTTGGTTACTTCACAAGTTTTGGTTAATATTGGGTGTTTGGTCAATGGTATTTTGACAATTTAGGGGTCGTGATCAAAGTTATGCATATATAACTAATAATGTTTGAATTAGTTATGGGTGAATACACATTATTTTACCCGAGATGTTAGTTACGTATTACACTTTTTATTTTGTATATAATAATATATAAATTTTCTTAATATTTGTGGAGTACATATATTACTTAGATAAGTGTTTAAATTGTCAATCAAATATCATATTAATTTTACATATAAATAACTTATATAATATCCTATAATTTATTTTTTATTGTGTTACCAAACAATCACTCAATATTTGTGATATTCCGTTAATTGCTCAATTTGCAACTGTTAAATCATAAATGTAGAATTATACCTTAATTTTGCATATGAAAAATTTATATAATATCCTATAATTTATTTTTTATTGTGTTACCAAACAATCACTCAATATTGGTAATATTCCGTTAATTCGTCGATTTGCAACTGTTAAATCATAAATGTAGAATTATACCTTAATTTTGCATGTAGGCAATATTCAATATCTTGTTTTTGTGGCTATACGTCAGACGGTCAGAGTAAAAGAGAAGGAAGCTTTAATTCTGTCTGAGATGAAGCAGCATAAAGTGGCGTAACATGCATTGGGTGCTCTTGCATATATGTTTTCTTTTTTCCTAATTACTTGTTCATTTTTAAATTAGTGCACCTTTTAAGAAAATAATTATTGATTAATATAGTGAGTTTATCATTTTTACCCCTATTAATTATGAAGTTGATGAATTAAAAATTAAGATTTTCAAGAAATTCTATCTTTTTGAAAGTAATTAATTAAGGGTATATTAAGTAAAAAAAATTGTTTTTCTTGATTTTGTCAAAATAAATAAGTAATTAGGGACAACTAAAAAAGAAAAAGTTGACAAGTAAATAGGGACAGAGACGGTACTTCTTATCAAAAAAGGACAATATTGTCATTGTTCAATTTATATGACTTATTTTCTTAGCCAAACACATATGCAGACCCTTAAACTTGTCCCTAAATTTCATTTTGACACTCCAATTCAACCTTGTTCCATTTTAACCCTTCAACTCCATTTTTTATGTTCCATTTTGGCACTTCTAAGTGATATGGCAGAGAGTGTGCATCACACATTCTCTAAGAGAGTAAAAGACAAAAAAAAAAAGTATTTTTTAAAAAATTATAAAAGATTACCCTTCAACTCTATTTCTTTTATGTACCATTTAACACAAAATACTAATTTTATGATTTCTTTATTTCTATATATGTTATTCAACTGCAATTTTGCATTTTTAAAATCGACGATCATCTGTTAATTATTGTAAAAAATTAAAACTGACGGATTATCATTATTATTTTTATAAAAAAAAGTAACAATTTCTTTTTAAGAGTTTTCCTATATTTTTGCGTGAAAAATAACCGACGAAAGTGCGTCGATTTTCTTTCTTAAAAAAATCAATCACAACCCAACGAAGTATATCGAGTTTCAACATTTTTTTGTAGTGTTATTAATTAGCAATGAACATGAGTTTTTTTTACTCGTATTTAGTTGAATGAAAAATTAGAAAGTTGATATTTGAGTTAGTCTAAGTAGACTAGATATGAAAAAAAATATATGTGATGTTATTTCAATTAACTAATTGTTTTTTAAAAAAAATCAACACACTTTCACCGATTATTTTTTCACACAATAATGTACAGAAACTCTAAAAAAATATTATTTTTTTTAAAAATGTTGTTCATCCATTATTTTTTAACACAATAATGGCATGTGAAGTACACACATCCCACTTTGTTGATTCTTTGGAAAGAAGTGCCAAAATGGAACATAAAAATTGGAGTTGAAGGGTTAAAATGGAACAAGTTGAGTTGGAGTGCCAAAATGAAATTTAGGGACAAGTTTAAGGGTCTGCATATGTGTTTGGTCTATTTTCTTCCTTAATCAGTTTAAAAAAGAATGATACATTTCTATATAAAGTAACAATTTAACTTTATAATGTTCATTTTATCTTTAATGAAATGATTTATAGTCACACAATTTTTTATTATTCATTTTAGACCACAAGTTTTAAAAGTCTTCATTTTTTTCTTAAACTCCGTGTTGAGTCAAACTACCTCACATAAAATAGGATGGAAGAAGTAATACTTATTCACTATTCACTTTGTACATTTTTTTACAAATTATAAATATAAAAGTATTTTTACTATATCATCCTTTAAATCTAATAAATTCGATGTCTTTAAAAATACAATAAAGAAATGACTATAATTAATGATAATGGTAAATTAGAAATTAAATATAAAATTATCTATTAATTTCATAAAATGAACAAATATGACTAAACATCTCAAAATAGTATAGTGAACAACTATTATTTACCATACTATTTTGATACAATATGCACTACCTACACATAATACTCTACTTTATTCTTTCTCAATCAATCTTACTAATGTTTATAAATAAATGGTTCATTTTAACTTTCTTTAAATATTAATCTCTTCGTTTTATATTAGTTGATCATTTTTTTAGAAATAATTAGCCTCTTATATTAATTGTCCATCTTACTAATTCAAGAAAGTATTAATTAAGTTTTTTATATTACTCTTGCAATCAAATCTTTTTTTAAATGTTCACATTTGTTTATAAAATTTTCGAATAATTTTTTTAAAAATAAATTAATAAAATTATCTTCTTATTTAAGATTTATTAATATACTAATAAAAAGAAAAAATATCAACTAATATGAACGGAGAAAGTATTGTGCCAATCCTTTTTCGCCCATTTTGAAGGTCTATTTTCACTTTTTTCCCACCATGCCAAGTGGATCATATTCTTGATATGGTTAGGATAAATATATATATATATATATATATATATATCTTTTCTTCTTCTTTTTTCCCTACAAGAAAGAAAGCAGGGATGAACATATTGAATATTTTGACTCGATAATTGTAGTTTTAAGAATTATTAAATTATTATCATATTAAATTAATTTGATATAATCGATACTTTATACTAATATATAATAAATTTATAATTATGATTTTTTCGATTTCAATTTATATATATATATATATATATATATATATATATATATGAAAAATCACCTCATATACACATTTAAGAGTCAATATTACAGGTTTTAAATCTACTTTTAAAAAATTCTTACTTATAACAGTTTAATTACGGGTTATAACATATCATTAATTATTTATAAATTAATTAAATTTTACTTTATTAAATAAGTAATTTTTTATAATTTTATATTATTATTAAATTATTTAAATAAAGAATACTCCATAATTATCTCTTACACAATTATAGGGATTTATATTGATTACTGTTCCTTTTTTACAGTTACAAGGCACACCTCCACACCCCACCTAAATCCCTCACCCCACGACAATTCCACGTTAAAAAAAACAAAAATTCATCTTTCATCTCTTTCAGCCGTACTCCATTGAAGCCAATTTTTCAACATCTAAAAACTGATTAGGAAAAATATATTCTCCATACAATCAAAACAAAAGGGCAGATCTCAACTTGTGAGACATACACTTTCAATGGGGTTTAAAGGGTTTTTTGTGTTTTTGTTGTGTTTACAGGAAGACTTGTTTTGGAGTTGAGTGCTTTGAGGCTTTTCATGTGAAAAGGTTCTGTTTTTCTAATTTGGTTGTAGAATTTCTAGGGTTTTCTTAGGACTGACGATTTTATCAGAAATTTAATTTGTGAAGGTGAAGGTGAAAGGGTTTAGGGTTTATCTATTTTTGCCCCAAAATTGTTAAAGATATGAAGTTGGAAAAGGATGTTAAAAGGGAGAGGCTGATGGATTTTATCAGTTTTATTCAAATCTAATTTTTTATTTTTTATTTTTAAAAAAAGGAACATTTTTTTATGAGGAGTTAATAGTTGACAGAAAGGAATTATATGTCGTTTGTGATCACAGGTGTAACTGATCTGGATTAGACCAAAAAGGTATGATCTTGATCTTTCAATTTGTATTTTATAACATATATATATATATATATATATATATATATATATATATATATGCATGTGATGTATGGTGTTTGTACAAATTCTTGTTTATATATGATTTACATGATTTTGTTTGTACATTTTTCAAAAGGAAAAGATTTACATGATTTGTTTCTTGTATTAGTCCTCCAAAAGTTAATTGAGTTTTTTACTACATGGGATATGGTTAAATTAATTTAGTAGATTTTTTTTGTTAAAATTGTTATATTATGCATATTATTGGTATGAAAGCTGACTTAATATACGATTTATGAATATGGTATGAATTTTGTCTAATTTTGGAATGAATTGGTATAAAATTTGGTATAAAAATGATATGATGTATTACTTATATTTGGTGTGAAACTTGTTTAAATCTGGTATGAAGTTGGTACACAGTTTAGAGGAAATCTAATTTTTTTTCAAATTATTCTCATTATGTCTACTAATCTGGCATGAAACATGAATAATATTAGGATGAAAGCTAACTTAATATACGATTTATAAATATGGTATGAAATGTGTTTTAACATTGGTATGAAATTGATTTATAATTGGCATGAAAGCTGACTTAAGTTGTGTATTATTTTTATCAAAAAATGTATGATATCAGTGGTCCAATTATGTGAATTGATTGTAGTTTGTTAAATCACCCATTTGTTTTTGTATAAATTATGACTAATGTTGGTATGAAATTGGTATTTTCTTATAATACCTATTTTTTATAATAAGAAGGTTTCTTTTTCAATTTCTCCAACTAGGTTGATGGCAATGCGGAAAAACAAAGAACGATGATGGCGCGATCAGTGAGAGTGAAGTAATTGGGACTGTTGCTAGCAAATTTGATGGATCCCCCATAGCAAAAGAACATGCTCCAGATACCAGCAATTATCCTACACCAAGACTACAAAGATCAAATTTGAGATAGTTGATTGCAGCTTAGACTCTTTAGTATTTCATCTCTTTTAACTTTTGAACGATATATATTTGTTTTTTTATACAATTTTAAGTATTGAATGATATATAATATGCATTGTTTTCTTCAAGTCAGTTATCAACTACATATGAATTACAGATTAACTCTCATAATTTCAGGATACTAGTTATATACAAATTGCATATCAATTGGATATAAATTTCTGGATATCAGTTATATACAAACTACATAACAATTGGATACATAAACAATTTAGTTTTGATATTTAATTGGAGATCAAAATGAACACCATATAATTGGTATCCAAACTGTATATAGTTGACATCCAATTATTCATACCAACATTTATTCAACCTGAAGGATTTCATCTACCACCATGTTTAATTAATAGAGATAAGCAGTCGTCCATCACAACAAAATCAAGATTTTTCAAACAAAAAAAAACTTGATTTACTCTTCAATGACAACAATTTTGGAAAAAAATGAAGAGAGAGTAACGTAGAAGAAAATGGATAATATCAGACTTTTTAATTAATTTTAACAGATTAGAGTGAATTAAGGAAACTAGATATTCCTAATTAGTTTGAATCTCCTAAATTTATGCTAATTAATAATTATCATCAATCAATTCAAATTTTATTAATACACCTATTTCCATTTTTATCTTCTTTGTTTTTCAAAATCGATTTATTTCCTTTTTTATCTTTTTAATTTTTTTCAAAATTGATTTTTTATCCTTTTTATTTTTTTCAAAACAGATTTTTACAATTAATTAAAAAATCTTTATTTATTTAATAAAATGTTACAACTTGAAATTTTTTATTGTTACAACTTGAAAGTTTTATTCTACTGCTATAACTTGAAAATATTAGTCTAATAAATTTCATATATGAAATTTTCACACACACAATATATATATATATATATATATATATTAAAAAATTATTACTTTTGATTATAAAGAATATCTCAATTATATCATATTAATAACTTACTAGGCAAGTATCAAAACATTTACTTTAAAAGAACTGGGAGACGTGAATTGTTAAAGAAGTTGTTGAAAGTGTAAGTTACAGCAAGCAAGAGCTTACCCCCTAACCTTTCTCTATTTTTAGAATACTTTTTTTTTTTTAATCAGGTGTTGAAACAAGTGAACTCCCTCCATTAATGGAGGCTAAGCTCAGTGAGAGAAGAAAGAAGAATAGAAAACGTAATGGATCCTTCTAGAATGGAGGATCATGTGAAGAGTGTGTATTATTTTTTTCTCATTGAATGAATAATGAATAGAGCAGTTATGTATATATATATATATATATATGCGTGGATAAAACATGAAAATAACCAACTAATTATAACTAACTATTTCAACAATGTTAACAAATTTCTAACTAACACAACAAGAAAAACAGTCTCTAAGTAAGGGAAATCTGGTCCCTGAAAGTCGAAATCTAGTCCCAAACGAGCATTTGAGACCTGAAAAATTTGATCGCCACCCGTCCTAAAAGCTTCCTTCGCTATCGCTCAACAAGGACGGGACAAAGAAACCAGTCGTTAAATGTTTTTGGGACGGGGATCTTATCTGGTCACGAAATACCTTTAGGGACGTTAATTCTGGTCTCAAATAGACCAAAAATATCTTGGGAAATAAGTTTTTCAGGTCGGTAAAAAACTATAACGACCACCAAAAACTAGTCGTAATAATATTTAGAGACGATATAGATCTGGTCCTAGTAATCCCTAGCGACCATTAAAGACCTGTCCTTAGAATTGCTTTAAAGACGAGAACTATCTGGTCATAGAAATACATATAGCGACTCACCAACCTCGTCCTAGAATACCTTTGGCGACTATCAACAACCCCGTCCTAGAATAGCATTAGAAACAAGCAGCAAGCGTGGACAAAGATTGGCCTTTAGAGACCAGAAATAATTATTGTCCTAGATTGAGCACTAATACATTTCATCAACAAATCTAATGGCTACTAAAAATTTCTCTACAAAAAGATGATATATATAGAGAAGAGACAGAGACAATACGACATATGTAAAGAAAGCAATTCATTACAATAAACTAGTTGACATCCATGATCATTGGTTTCAATATTTGTTTAACAAAAAAACATAGCTAACTTTCAAGTTAGACTAACATCAAGTTTTGCATTAAATTTGTAGCAAACTAATATTGATCTCATTCATCTTCTTCTAAACTTGTATCTTGCACATAACAATGAACTAAAACTAGGCAAAGAAATAAAAATTCCAATCTTCATCGAGTGTTATCTAGAAACATCAACAAAAGCTGCAAGAAAATAAGAAAAAAATCCATTAGAAAAACTTTGAGATGCTTTAACTGAGAATCTAATATCTATTTTAAAGATTTACAACTAAATATATAACATCTGCAATGAACAAAAAATAGGGCAGAAATCTCTTGTGTGGAATAAATATCATCTGGAACTAACTGACGAAACATTCACAAATATATATCATGGCGATCGATGTTCGAGGCTCCACATGAAACCCACTATTAGTCCTACTATTGTCCTCTTAAATATGTATCAAAGACCTGATTCGCCTTGAAAGGGCAGCAGAGAAAGGAAAGGCATTTGTAGTTGCGCGCCGTTGAGGGAGTTGAAAAAAGCTGGCCGCAGAGCATTTGTTTCTGGTTGGCATTCGAACATTTTGTCTAGTGTTACTGATGACTTTTCCCAGTTCATGTGACTCATTGATGGTCATTGCAAGTGACATTTGTTAACCTTTTTTCTCTACAATCATTTCTGAAAATCCAAAGTAGGTAATATCTTCACTTTTAATCTCCTAAAGAATATAACAGAAAATAGATTTTCTGCAAGTCACCAACAATTTTTTATGGTGTTTCCAGAACTGTAACAGTTGAGCCAAACGATACTGTTTTAGACGCAGCAAAAAAGATGTTTGAATCTCAAACAAGCTCGGCTATAGTGGTTGTTGATAAGAAACCACAAGGAATTTTAGCGTGGATATTCCAACTTTATGCACCTTAAAAAGATCAGCAGGGAATTGCGACATAAGTTCTTTGGAAGGTTTAGGAGAAGGCATAGCAGAAGCATGAGCCAAAGCCCTTTGAGGCATCGCAGCTATAAAGACTGCTCTCACAAGAGTCATAGTAGAAAGTATGATGAAAGGGATCATTATTATGAGATTCGTAGCAGGATGAACAGAAGTACAATCCCTGACCACAGGAGGGGTAGAAATAGGAGTCCCGGTGGCAGGAGAGACCGAATTCCAGTTAGGGATGACAGTGAAGAGAGCCGTGCAAGAATAGAGCAATGGAATCGGGAAAATGAACAGGAAGAACTTGATAACATGGATAATGCAGACATTAATTAAAAAAATGAAAGCAATGAAAATGAATTTGCTCCAAACAAAGATGAGTATTATAACTAGCAATGACAATGAAGTGCATATGGATAATACATGAAAATATCGTGCTGGTTGTGGAGCCAAAGTCAGAGTCATACTGATGAATGTCTTAATCTGATGGTAATTATCTACATAACCTATCTGATGGTAAATATCTACAGCCACCACTACAGAGACCAATGAAGAAGAAGCTAGTCCGATAAGAATGGCAATGTAAACTAGAGGGATGGGCAAATTGGTTGTACAGTCTAGAAAAAGAACATTTAACCAAGAGATAGCAAAGGATGAGGACATCGCAGAGACTATTGAGGCAGATCTATCATCTCAAGAATTAAAATTCTTCATATAATAAAATAAAGTCGGGTATATTGTTACTTACTTAGTCAGTAGAAAAACAATAATCATTCAGTTGGAAGAGGTGATATTGTAGGTGGGACATCTGATTGTTGAGCAGCAAAGAGTTCTTTCATTTTCAATATTTCTTTCATTGCATCTTTCTAAGGTAGACAACCGATCATTCAAGGATTTGTTTTCCTCATTCAAGGATTTGTTTTCCTCATTCAAGGATTTGTTTTCTTCATTCAAGAATTTGTTATCATCTTAAGTTGAACGTAGCGCGGACAATATTTCAGCCTTTGAAGAAGTCCCACCTTTCAAATCTTTCGCCTTTACTCCACCCCCAAATCCAAATACATGGCTACGAGTTTGTGGTCCACAACATTTTTCAACAATCTCTATACTAGATAGGAATGGATCTTCTTGAACTATTTCCTCAAGTTGAGCCTACAAAATATATAAAAGGACATTTTCTATCAAAACACAACAATTTTTGGCTATTAACTTATTCAATTTACCAAACGTACATGTTTTTCAATTGCTTCAGGTTCAACAAGCTTGTTATCTTTCTTACGAGTCTCAAAGAAAATAGTCGCCAAATCTGGTGGATTGCCATCTTTCCCACCCTTTACATCAAATTCAAACACGTCAAATAACACAAACCTCGTAAATACTCCATCAGGGAAAATAGTTTTTTAACAATACCTTTTGATAAATAATCTCTCGAATAGGTTTGCTACCAATATGATGGAGCATCTTCAACTTAGATCGGTTTTTTGCATTCCTGATGCTTCTTTCCTATATTTGTAAAACGTTAAACTTAATTAGAATAATTATAACAAAATTGTTAAAACATAAGGCATCTCATGCCTGAACAAGCTTCAAGGGTGTTTCCTAGTAATAAACTTAAGCAGTATACATACCTGAAAACTTTCAGAAGTAAAATGTTCTTTTACTAACCATTCCCATTCTTTTTTGTCTACTTCCCTTGGGATATTCTTAAGAGATTGTTGAATGGGCTTATCCTTCACATATTTTGCATGTAAGTATCCTCTCCATTTGTTCCATAACTCATTCATCCATCCCAAGATATGATCACGATGATCATTCATGTCAACAGCCTCAAATTTGTGCTACAAAAATTGGGACATGAGTTGAGTTATTACCAAGGGAGAAGAATCAAGAAGGACAAAGCAGAGCATAACAGAGAAAACAATACAAACCATAGAAAGAAATGGCAAAACTGAAAAAAAAACCAAAGAAGAATATATTGCAAAATAGAAAAACACAAAATAGGGGAAATTGCAAAACAGAGCTTTTTCTCGCTCTTACTGAAGTCTTGCTTCTCACTTCTAGGACTGAAGAGCTCACTTTTTTACCATAGCTTCGCTTCACTACAAAAAAAGTGATACAAATTTTTCTCGCTTTAAGCAACGAAGCGCTCGCTTTTAATAACATTGTACCATCTGTAGTTCTGGATCATGTTCTACAAATCAACGTCAACAAAGAGAGAATCATTACAACAGATCCTTGTTGCAGTAGAACAAGAACACATTTGTTGGACCACATTTATGTTAATGAAATATTTGAATGGAGTTTAAATTTGTTACCTCAACAGCTGCCCACATGTGACTTAACTTTTCTTGCTTAATATCACTCCACGAGGTTACTCCCAATGGACATATATTACGATCACGAACAATTTTTCCCAAATGCCTTGAAAACAATTTGCTATTTGTTCCAACAGTTCGATTATTGTAAAATGTTATTTTAAGCTTTTCTCTATTTTCTAGTGAAGCAACTTCTTTGCAGATGTTGCTCCCTCGAACTCTTCTTACCTTTGTAGGATAAGATGAACCTACGATGCATAATTTAATAAAAACTATAGAAATCAAATTCAACTTTAGAAATTAATAAGATATGGATTGAAAATAACGTACCTTTTTAAGTTGTTTGAGAGTGTTCCTTAACTTGATCAATAGATGGAGGCAATGAAATATTAGTTTGCATATCCTCTTTCTCAAGAATCATTTAATCCATTCTTTGCATTTCTTGACTAGACGACATGGTCAAATTTGCTCTTGTGCTTTTAGAAGGAGTTTTGATATGTTGATTAGCATAAAGAGCACTCTTGTTAATATTTTCCACCTCAGATTCAGAAGTCATGTAGTTGTTATGTTTCATTCCCATTCCTTGACTAGTAGAAAAATTAGAGCTTTTAAATCCTTGTTCTCGCCCCTTCCCTATCAAACCTGGAGAAATCAAATCATATTAGCAATACTTTAGCCTAGTGCTTCAGAGAGGAAGAAGCTGAAAAAAATTAACAAGTACTTGCAGAGAAGATTAGATTGTTAAACAGAAAAAACATAGTGTAATACAGAAATTGAAAAAGTAATACAAAGAAGAGAAAAAATGGTTGCTCTTTGGGGAGCTACGATGTGCTACATCTGGAAAGTACGAAACTGAAAATAGTTCAAAGGTATTACATATAAACTTGAACTTTTGTTTGAAAACATAGCAGATTTCCAAAAATCTTGTCTAGACTTCTTGGGTATATATATAGCTTACCTAGATTAGTCGATGCATGAGCTGAGGGGTTAGTTTGCTTGTTCTCTTCTCAAGATCAATGGAGTTCTTAGGTAATGTTGTCATTCCTTGACTAGTAAACAAAGTAGAGTTTGTAAGTCCTTGTCCTCGGCCCTTCCCTACACAACATGGAGAAAACAAATCATATTATCAATATTTTAGAGTATTCTTTTTGAGAGTGAGAAACTGTAAGAAATAACAACGGCTCAAAGAGAAGATAAGATTTTGAGACAGAAAAAATAGAGCATTATACAAAAAAAATAACAAGGGCTATGTTTTCACTATCGACTCACTTGAGGGTAGAAAAGTGATAAAAGTATGATTCATTTCGCTTCTCATTTTAAGCAACAAAACACAATATCGTAACAACCTACTTTAGCACTTAGGTTTATACAACGGTGGCACCTAGTCATTTCAATATTGAATAACAAATTTGAGAAAAAGAAGAGATTTACCAATAATTTAGAATAGTGTTTCAGAGGAAGAAGCTGAAATTTTTTTGACAAGTACTTGCAGAGAAGATTAGATTGTTAAACAGAAAAAAAACATAGTGTAATAGAGAAATTGAAAAAGTAATACAAAGAAGAGGGAAAAAATGGATTCAGCCATGAAATAGGAAATAATCTTTGAGAGTTATAAAAGTAAGATAGTGTTACTACTAATTTTATTGTGCACATAAGCTGGAGGTGTAAAAATATGAATACATGTTTCAGCATACCAAGCATGTTTCATCCTCTTATTTAACTATAAGAAGTTTAAGACGGAAATGGTGGTTGCTCTTTGGTGAGCTACTATGTGCTACATCTAGAAAGTAAGGAACTGAAAATAGTTCAAACGACTTATAGACAAACTTGAACTTTTATTTGAAAACATTGCAGATTCTCAAAAATCTTACTTGTCTACACCTCTTGGGTGTTTTTCCTACCTAGATTAGTCGATGCATGAGCTAAGGGGTTAGTTTGTTTGTTCTCTTTCTCAAGATCAATGGAGTTCTTAGGTATCGTTGTCGTTCCTTGACTAGTAAACAAAGTAGAGTTTGTAAGTCCTTGTCCTCGGCCCTTCCCTACACAACATGGAAAAAACAAATCATATTATCAATACGTTAGAATATTCTTTTTGAGAGCGAGAAGATGTAAGAAATAACAGCGGGTCAAAGAGAAGATTAAATTTTCAGGACAGAAAAAAACAAAGCATTATATTAAAAAAAAAAAAAACCAGATCACTGGATTGAGAAACAAAACTCTTACTTGTTTCAATTTCTTGGATGTAGTGATAAACCAGATCACTAGATTGAGAAACATAACTCTTAGTTGGCAAATTTCTTCTCTCAACCAAAGATTTAAGCCCTCGTCCTCGGCCCTTTCCAATAGCACCAGGCGCAACAAATGTATATCTGATAGTACTCTTCATAGATGAGTCACCCTCATTTTCAGTTTTCAATGGTTTCATCTTGAACCTGCAAAAAAGAGCCAAAAATAAATAAATAATAAGAAGACATTTACGACAATGTAAGAATAAAAGAAATCATGTCATTCTCATGAGTTTGTGCAAACTCTCTACAAAATTGAAGTGAACCATAAATATCATATAAAAAGAAATAATCGTATGGAAATAATAATGAGAAGATATGAAAGAACTCTCCATACTCGAGATATGGTAAGACTTCATCACAATTCTTCGGTATGTATATGTGTGCTTGCTCTAATTCATCTGCTTCAAGCTCAAATGGAGTTTTAGCTCCCAGAGTTTTTCCAGGTTGACAAAATAGTGATAAACCTCCATTAGATTGCTTTAAACCCCCATCATAATTTCTTTCGGGCCGATTAAATTTTGTGTCAATTCTACATAGATACCTTGAGCATAAGGTCATACATTCATTTGCAATGTAGCCCTCTGCAATACAACCTTCAGGACATGCCCTATTACCAATGAAATATTTTAGAAAATATAACCATCGTTCCACAGGATACATCCATCGATAATGAATCGGTCCAGCAATCTTAGCTTCAGTAGCTAAATGAATAGGTAAGTGAACCATGACATCA